AAACACTTCAAGATATGGACAAAGGTAAAGATTTTCTGAACAGGACTCCAATTAGTACAAGAAAATATCCCAGGAATTGACAAATAGAATTACATAAAATTAAGACGTTTCTAAGGGAAACAATCCTTGGAGTAAAGAAATGACCTACAGAATGGAAAGGGGAAAAAAATCTTTGCCAACAGCACATCACAGACACACACACACACACATACACACACACACAAAGACAAAAACAAAACAACAACAAAAAAAGACAACAGGGAATAACCTAATTAATTAATGAACTAATGAATGACACTTCTCAAAAGAACTACAAATAGCCAATAAACATATAAAAAGCATCCAACACCCTTAGTCATAAGAAAAATGCAAATTAAAATTGCTTTGAGATTTCATCTCACCCCAGTCAGAACAGCTATCATCAAAAATTTGTTTAAAAATGTCAAGGTAGATGGGGGCAGGGGGAACCCTTATTCACTGCTAATGGGAATGTGAAGTTGTGCAGCCACTATGAAAATTAGAAAGGGAAATTACTCAAAAACTGAAAATAGAACTACCCTGCCACCCAACTACATCACTCTAGTGTATACCTGAAGGACTTTAAGTCAACATACCACAGATATACTTGTACATCCATGGTTAAAGCTGCACTATTCACAACAAAGGCAATGAAATCTGTTCCACCTATGTCGCGAGCCGGGACTCTGTCCAGCAGAGTCCAGGAAAAAAGACACGAACACCAAGGTGAGGTTCAAACTTCCGTTTCTCTTTCTTCCTTTATTCTCTCTTATTCTCTCTCATATTCTCTTCACTATCTCACCCACTATGATGCTGCTTCATCGTTCTCCTCTTTATATAGCATTTCCAACAGCCCTCCCCCCAGCCAGGACCAATCAGGGCACACACACGTGCAGCGGGCAGGCAGAGTGCAGCTCATTGGCCACGTAGCAAGATCATCAGGCAGGCAGCACCTGTTCGGGCTCACCATGCTTCAGAGAGTTGGAGTAAACAAGCGGGGATCACGAGCCTTGGCAACCAGCCAAGAGTTGAAGTAAACAGCACGAGGTTTGGCAGCCAGCCAGGGCGCCATCTTTGGCTGGCTCGGCTGTGCTCGCTTCCCACACACCTAGATGCTTATCAACAGATGAATGGATTAAATATATATATATATATATGGTGCATATACACAATGGGATTTTATTCAACAATAAAGAAAAATAAAACCGTAGCATTTGCAGGAAAATGAGTGCAACTAGAAATCATTGTATTAAGAAAATAAGGCAGATGCAAAAAGACAAATACCATATTTCGTCTCATATACAGAATGTCAATTAAAATTGTGTGTACATCAGTATGTGTGCACCTGTGTGTGATGATATGTGTCTGCTAGTCGTGAAACTAAAAAGGGGGTCATGAGAGAGGAGGAAGAGTTCTCAAGGGAGGTAGAAGATAGAGTACTGGACTACATGTAATTAGAAAGCAGAAGAAGAAACTAATTGGGGGAAGAAAAGGAGCCAGCTGACTCGGGGAGGGGGCATGAGAGAAAGAGGTAGAGGTGGGGAACAAATGAGGACCAGTACAATGACACATATGTATTAAAATACCATGATGAAACCCGTTACTTTGCCTGGTAACCTAAAAAAAAATATTTTTTAAAAAGAGAACATATAATTTGCCTCACAGTATATCCAAGTGGATAACAAGCCCTGTTTGAAAAGGAGAGACAGATTTTTAAATTTCAAATACTCTCACAAAGAATTTAGAAGGTATCATTAACTTAGACCTACCTACTTTTTTTTTAACCTGTATATTTTTCAAATCTTATGACTCTGAAAGATGACTACTGTTCGGTATTAACACCTGTTGAGGAGTTTTCTGTACCAGTAACAAGCACTTAGATAAACCACTTATACAGATAAAGGTTTATTTTGGCTCACAGTTTTGGAGTTTCTAGTCCCTGATGAGACACACCCATTGCTTTTAAGCCGTCTAGTGGAGGGGCAGGTGCATGTGGTAGAGCAAAGCCAATTATCCTTCAGTCAGGAAGAAAAAGAGAAGAGACCACAGTCCCAGAATCTCCTTCAAGGACTCAACACTCAGTGACCTGAAGACCTCCAACCAAGTCCCACCTTCTAAAGGTTCCACTATTTCCTGATACAGCAATGAGTTGGCAACCAAGTCTTTAAAACTTTGCTGCTACAGAGCACTCAAGGTCCAAACTATAGCAAGTCCCCAAATAAACTCGACATTTCTTCTATTTCTAAGCCTTTGGTCAGAGTTAGTAATTATCGTCAATTACTATCTGATGAAATTCTATCAATCCTTCAAGAATCACCTCAAAATTTCCCACCATTAAGTTTTCCCAACTCTCCCCTTCCTCCATGCTATTCCATTACTTAAGGTGATAGTTGTCTTTTAGGACTTAACCACATTAAAATAAGGCATGTGTGCTGGATAGCTTTAGTGTCAACTTGACACACCTGGGTTGAAGGAGCCTCAATTGGGGAATTGACTCCATTGGACTGGCCTGTGGCCATGTCTGTGGGGCATCTTCTTGATTGTTGAGTGATGTGGGAGGGC